CATACAAAGTCAATGCACTAAAATCAGTTGCATTTTAAAACAACAATGAATAATATGTAAAAGAAGTTAAGAGGAAAATTCCACTTAAAATAGCATTAAAAAGAATAACCAAGGAGGTGAAAGACTCATACAACGAGACATATTGCGGAAAGAAATTAAAGACATAGATAAATAGAAACACATTCTATGTTGAGAGATTGGAAGACTTAATATTGTGTGTTTGTTTTTTGGAGACAGGGTCTTGCCTTATCACCTAGGTTGAAGTGCAGTGGGACAGTCACAGCTCACTGTAGCCTCAATCTCCTAGGCTCAAGTGATCCTCCTGCCTCAGTCTCCCAAGTAGCTAGGACTACAGGCATGTACCACTATGCCTGGCTATTTTTTTTTTTTTTTTGAGACGGAATTTTGCTCTTGTTACCCAGGCTGGAGTGCAATGGTGCGATCTCAGCTCACTGCAACCTCCACCGCCTGGATTCAGGCAGTTCTCCTGCCTCAGCCTCCTGAGTAGCTGGGATTACAGGCACGCGCCACCGTGCCCAGCTAATTTTTTGTTTTTTTTTTAGTAGAGACGGGGTTTCACCATGTTGACCAGGATGGTCTTCATCTCTTGACCTCGTGATCCACCCACCTCAGCCTCCCAAAGTGCTGGGATTACAGGCTTGAGCCACCGCACCCGGCCACCTGGCTATTTTTTTCTTTTTCTTTTTCTTTTCTTTTTTTTTTTGACTTTAAGCCCTGGAAAATTAAAGCAGTTAGGCTTTTTAAAAAATTTTTTTTGTAGAGGTAAGGTCTCACTATGTTTCTCAGGCCAGTCTCAAACTCCTGGACTCAAGTGATCCTCCTGCCTTGGCCTCCCAAAATGGTGGGATTACAGGCATCAGCCACCCCGTCTAGCCTGACTTAATGTTGTTAAGCTGTCCATACCACCCAAAGTAATTCATAAGTTAATTCAATATAATTGCTATCACACTCTCAAGGCCATTTTTTTGCTCTGGGAGTTTTAGAATATAAAAACTTAATCTAAAATTCATATGGAGTCTCAAGAGACCCTGAAAAGCCGCAAGAAACCTGGAAAAGAAAAAGTTGGCGATCTCACACTTCCTGAACTTAAAACTTACTAGAAAACTGCAGTCATTAAAAGAGTGTGTTGGGCTGGGCACGGTGGCTCACGCCTGTAATCCCAGCACTTTGGGAGGCCGAGGTGGGTGGATCACGAGGTCAAGAGATCAAGACCATCCTGGTCAACATGGTGAAACCTCGTCTCTACTAAAAATATAAAAAATTAGCTGGGCGTGGTGGTGCGTGCCTGTAATCCCAGCTACTCAGGAGGCTGAGGCGGGAGAATTGCCTGATCTCAGGAGGCAGAGGTTGTGGTGAGCCGAGATGGCGCCATTGTACTCCAGCCTGGGTAACAAGAGCGAAATTCCATCTCAAAAAAAAAAAAAAAATAGAGTCTGTTGGACTTGGCTGTGATATGAAGGAATAATAGGAAGAAAACAGTGTGATACATAAAAATAAACATATAGACCAATGAAATAAATAGAGAACTGAGAAACCCTCTTACATAGTTAAGTCTTGAACTCCTGACCTCAAGTGATTCACCTGCATTGGCCTCCCAGAGTGCTGGGATTACAGGCATGAGCCACTGCACCTGGCCACGTCAAGTGATTTTTGATAAGGATGTGAAGACTGCTCCACAGGGAAAGGGCAGTCTTTTCAACAAATGGTACTGGGGAAACTGGATATTCACATGCAAAAGAATCAAGTTGGACCCTTATCTAGTAATGCATTCAAAAATTAATTCAAAATGGCCAGGACTGGTGGCTCACACCTGTAATCCCAGCACTTTGGGAGGCCGAGGCAGGTGGATCACTTGAGGCCAGGAGTTCGAGACCAACTTGGCCAACATGGGGGGAACCCCGTCTCTACTAAAAATACAAAAAACTTAGCTGGGTGTGGTAGTGCGCTCCTGTAATCTTAGCTACTTGGGAGGCTGATGCACAAGAATCATTGAACCCAGGAGGCGGAGGTAGCAGTGAGCCAAAATTGTGTCACTGCACTCCAGCCTGGGCAAAAGAGGGAGACCCTGTTTCAAAAATAAATAAATAAATAAAATGATGGAAGACCTAAATGTAAGAACTAAAACTATGAAACTTTTAGAAGAAAACACAGGACAAAAGCATCACTCATTGGATTTGACAGTGATTTATTGGATATGACATCAAAGGCACAGCAACATGGAAAAATAGACAAACTGCACTTCATGAAAATTTAAACATTTTTGTACATCAAAAACACTACCAACAGTAAAAAGACAACCCACCGAATGGGAGAAAATATTTGCAAATCACATATCTGATCAGGGATTAATATTCAGGATATATCGGGAACTCTTAAAACTCAACAGTGAGGTCAGGTGCAGTGGCTCATGCCTATAATCCCAGCACTGGGAGGCTGAGGCAGGGGGATCCCTTGAGGTCAGGAGTTCGAGATCAGCCTGGCCAACATGGTGAAACCCCGTCTCTACTAAAAATACAAAAATTATCCAGGCATGGTGGCACACACTTGTAATCCCAGCTGATTGGGAGGCTGAGGCACAAGAATTGCTTGAACCTGGCAGGTGGAGGTTGCAGGGAGCCAAGACTGTGCCATTGTACTCCCTCCTGGGTGATAGAGCGAGACATCATCTCAAAAAAAAAAAAAAAAAAAACCCAATTCCAAAATGGGTAAAGGACTTGAATATCTATGTTTTTCCAGAGAAGGGAAACAAATGGCCAATAAGCACATGAAAAGATAAACATCAGTAATTATTAGGGCAATGCAAGTCCAAACTACACCTTACACCCATTAGGATGGCTACTGTCAAAAAGGCAAGGAGGTAACCACTGTTGGTGGAGGATGTGAGGGACTGGAACCCTGGTGCATCATTCGTAGGAATATAAGGTGATGTAGCCACTGCTAGAAAACATGGTGGTGGTTCAGAAAATTAAAAATAGAATTACCGTATGATACCAAAATACAGTCTCGGGTACAGTATGTACCTAAGGTGATTGAAAGCAATATCTCAAAGAAATGTTTGTACACCCATATTTATAGAATCCTTATTCACAGAAGTTAAAATAGGGAAGCAACTCAAGTGTGTCCATCAATGGATGAATGGATAAACAAAATGTAGTGTATGTGTATAAGAATATTACTGCCTTAAAAAGGAAGGAGGTCTGATACATGATACAACATGGATGAACCTTGAAGATACTGTGTTGAGGAAATAAGCCAGTCAGAAACAAGACAAATGCTGTTTGGTTCCATTGATAGGAAGTACTTAGAGTAGTCCAAGTCATGGTAAAGACATTTAAGGAGATTAAAAAACAGAGAGTAGTCAAAATCATAAAGACAGAAAGTAGAATGGTGGTTGCCAGGGGCTGGGGGAGGGACGAGTGGGGAATTATTTGATAGGTGCAGTTTCAGTTTTACAAGATTAAATAGTCCTGGAGACGGATGCTGGTGATGATTACATAGCATTATGAATGTATCGAATACCACTGCAATGTATACTTAGAAAGGAATCATGGTAATTTTATGTTATGTGTATTTTAGCATTAAAATATTGGGGGATGAGAGCAGCACACAGTGGCTCACGCCTGCAATCCCAGCACTTTGGGAGGCTGAGTCAGAAGGATCCCTTCTGTCCAGACCAAGATTAGCCTGGGCAATATAGTGAGACCATGTCTCTAGAAAAAAATTTAAAAATTAGGCTGGGGCCAGGCGTGGTGGCTCACGCCTGTAATCCAAGCACTTTGGAGGCCAAGGCGGGCGGATCGCCTGAAGTCGGGAGTTCAAGACCAGCCTGACCAACATGGTGAAACCCCGTCTTTAATAAATAAATAAATAAGTAAGTAAGGCCGGGCGTGGTGGCTCATGCCTGTAATCCCAGTACTTTGGGAGGCCGAGGCAGGATCATGAGGTCAAGAGATTCAGACCATCCTGGCCAACATGGTGGAACCCCGTCTCTACTAAAAAATTCTCCATCTCATAAAAAAATAAAAATTAGCCTGGCGCAGTGGCTCAAGCCTGTAATCCCAGCACTTCGGGAGGCCAAGGCGGGTGGATCACGAAGTCAAGAGATCGAGACCATCCTGATCAACATGGTGAAACCCCGTCTCTACTACAAATACAAAAAAAAAATTGGCTGGGCATGGTGGCATGTGCCTGTAATCCCAGCTACTCAGGAGGCTGAGGCAGGAGAATTGCCTGAACCCAGGAGGCAGAGGTTGCGGTGAGCTGAGATTGCGCCATTGCACTCCAGCCTGGGTAACAAGAGCGAAACTCCGTCTCAAAAGATAAAATAAAATAAAAAATAAAAATAAAAATTAGCTGGGTGTGGGGCACACATCAGTAGTCCCAGCTATTCGGGAGGCTGAGGTAGGAGGATTGCTTGAGGCTGGGAGGTTGAGGCTGAAGTGAACTGTGATTTCACAACTGCACTCCTGCATGGGTATATTTGGTTTTGGTTTTGGTTACCATTGTTGTTTGTTTTGTTTTGTTTTGTTTTAAGATGGAATCTAGCTCTGTCGCCTCACTACAACCTATGCCTCCTGGGGTCAAGCCACTCTTTCTGCCTCGGCCTCCTAAATAGCCGGAATTACACGCATGCGTGTCCACATCCGGCTGATCTTTGTATTTTAAGTAGAGATGGGGTTTCCACCATGTTGGCTAGGCTGGTGGTCTCAAACTCCTGACCTCAGGTAATCCGCCCGCCTCGGCCTCCCAAAGTGCTGGGATTACAGGCGTGAGCCACTGTACCCAGCCCTGTTTTTATTTTTATTTATTTATTTTTTAACAGATGTAATTGTCTTTCTGATTCATACACCTTTTCAATCAAGAGTATGTATGGGCTGCAGCCTGATAAGGTTTTTCAGTCCTTTGGTAATGTCTTCGTTGTACATTTTTGAAGCCTGCATAGTTACAGATTCGTTTGTTTTCAATGCTTCCTCTTGTAGGGGAAGATGGAATCTATCACTGTGGTGAAGCTGCTGAGCTGCTTTGATGACCTGGTGGCAGCAGGCACAGCCTCTGGCAGGGTTGCAATTTTTCAACTTGTGTCTTCATTGCCAGGGAGAAATAAACAGGTGAGTAGTAATGATCTTAGCACTTGCTAACTTCTTGGCAAATTCTCATGGGTCTTTCAAATGAGAAATCCGCATCTGCTTAGCAACTTTATGCTCAGAGCAGCTTACCACTGTGCTGTTTATAACTGGGTAACGTTTCTGTTCCGGGTTGGACACTTGGCATAAAGTTCACGTGGGTCATTTCATTTTTGCTTAATATTCTCGTGGTGAGCTCTCTGTGGGTTTTGAATGTGACTAGACAGATGGAACCTTGTGCAGGGTTCTGCTTGGAAAACGAGATTGGAAAACCTGCTCTTCTGTAACTTGGAGCGATTGCATACCTTGTCCATGTAGCCCCAGCTCACAGCATTTATCCTTTTCTTTTTCTTGTGTATATTTTTTTCCCTTATTCATAGCTTCGGAGATTTGATGTCACTGGTATTCACAAAAATAGCATTACAGCTCTGGCTTGGAGCCCCAATGGAATGAAATTGTTCTCTGGAGATGACAAAGGCAAAATTGTTTATTCTTCCCTGGATCTAGACCAGGTAACATTATTTTCAGAAATACTGTTGGCTCTTGCCTTCTTACGTTTGGAAAAACTGTATTTATAATTGTATTTTTAGTCAGCTTGTATTCTTGGTGACTGTCCCTTTATAATCTCAATTGTTATTTATGACATTTACTTTTTATAGCTATATTTTATAAGCTTCCACTTCTGTGACGAAGGAGTTGGCCTAGTGGAACATTCGCTGTTTTCATTCCACTGTTGTGTATTACTTCTTTTTTTTTTGAGACGGAGTTTCGCTCTTGTTACCCAGGCTGGAGTGCAATGGCGCGATCGCGGCTCACCGCAACCTCCGCCTCCTGGGTTCAGGCAATTCTCCTGCCTCAGCCTCCTCAGTAGCTGGGATTACAGGCATGCGCCACCATGCCCAGCTAATATTTTGTATTTTTAGTAGAGATGGGGTTTCACCATGTTGACCAGGATGGTCTCAATCTCTTGACCTTGTGATCCACCCGCCGCGGCCTCCCAAAGTGCTGGGATTACAGGTGTGAGCCACCGTGCCCGGCCTGTTGTGTATTACTTCTGCTTAGAAAAGAAGCTGTTATCATTCCTACTTCCTGGAAAGGTTAGTAGGAATGACGCCAAACACTTCCGAATCCTAACTGTGGACAAGTCAGTGACTTCAATGGATGGAGGACTCACTGCCAGCCACCTGGCCTGTGTGAGATGACCTCATGTGACAGGAAGTGACAGAGGAGGTTAGGTGGCAGTTTGGCAAAGATGAAGAAATTGGAGCTCCAGGAGTTCCAGGAACTAGCCCAGGGGTGCAGGCTTGCACCTCACAGGCTTGCTTTCAAACCGAGGCTCTGCTTCCACGCCCATGCCTTTTCCACTTTATGATCTGCTGGGTTTTATTTGTTCTGTTACGTGTCTGCAACCAAACTGAATTCCTCGGTGGCACAGTCCTTCGTTTTTCTCATTTGTAGCCTTCATTCCTAGAGCACTGTAGGAATTCAGCAGTTATCAGCTGAGTGACTTTCAGTCCCTCTGATCCAAGATGGACCTATTACAAATATTCTCTAATAGTAGTTCTCAAGCTCTGTAGTCACAAGACCCCTGCACTCTTAGAAAGAGGACCCCAAAGCATTTTTGCCTATATGGGTTAAATCTACCAAGTCCACCGTGTTAGGAGTTAAAACTGAGTGAAATAATAAATCCACAGTATGTGAACATAAATGACATATTTTGTGAAGATACTTCTATTTTCGAAACAGGTGAGAAGAGTGAGGGACCTTGGTTTATGTTTTTACAAATCTCTTTATTATCTGGCTTAGCAGAAGATGGCTGGATTCTGCATCCAATCTGTTGCCATACATGGTTTTGATTGAAGTGTATAAAGAAACTCTGGTCTTATACAGACATGGAGTCGGAAATGTGAGGAATATTTTGATAGCCTTTTCAGATAGTTGTAGACATTCTTAATGATATCCTCATATTGACAAATGGTAGTTGCTTTAAGGGTTACAATTACAAATGACAAATGATAGTTTCTCTAAAGGTTAGTAAAAATGTGGAATCTGTAACCACACGGGTGAATTTTTTCTAGTCTGTTATATTAAAATCTGCTTTACCTATGCTGGATTTTGTAGCACTACGTATTGGTCACTTAGAAAATACTATTCACAGAGTGATACAGATCTTCCAAATGTTGGCACTGTTTTTTGAGACATGGCCTCACACCACTCACCCAGGCTGGGGTACAGCAGTGTAATCACGGCTCACTGCAACCTTGACTTCCCAGGTTCAGGCGATTCTCCCACCTCAACCTCCCAAGTGGCTGGGACTACAGGTGCACGCCGCCATGCCCAAGCTGATTTTTTTGTGTTTTTTATAGAGACAGGGTTTTACTGTGTTGCCTAGGTTGGTCTTGAACATCTGGGTTCAAGTGATCTGCCCACCTCAGCCCTCCAAAGTTCTGGGATTACAGGTGTGAGCCACTGTGCCAGCTGATACATTTTCCTATACAATGTCAAAAAGTACCTTTGTTAACATAAACATCACTGTAATCAGGAAAGTCTCTAGCTATTGGGAATCGTGTCAAGTTCACCGGGACAGATACAGGTCTTCAAATTGCTAATCTTCACATGAGAGCAACAAATACCGTTGCTTGTTTTTCTTTAAGTGACAGGCTTTTGTTATGTTTTGTTTTGTTTTTTCCTCCCAGAAAATGTCTGCTGAATACTCAAGTTTGAATAATTACAGCATTTCAAATAAAAATGGTGTTTTGTGAAAAAAGCAGCTGGCTCAGCTCACAGCTGCAGTAGTTGCACAAGTGCTTTTCCTTGAGAGAACCACTGAGTGTATTTCAGTGTCCAGCAGAAGGGAGAATCCAAAAGTACCTATCCTCTGGCCAGCCATGGTGGTTCTCACCTGTAATCCCAGCACTTTGGGAGGCCAAGACCAGGAGGATCACTTGAGCCCAGGAGTCCGAGACCAGCCTGGGCAACATGGCAAAACCCTGTTTCTTTCTTTTTTTTTTTAGATGGAGTCTCACTCTGTTGCCCAGGCTGGAGAGCAGTGGTGCGATCTCGGCTCACTGTAACCTCCACCTCCGGGGTACAGGAGATTCTCTTCTACATTTTGATTATGTTGGGGTTATTATTTGAGATGTTGATTATTATTTGTGGAGGTGTGTTTTGTGGAGTTTGATTAGTAATGGATGAATGAAATACATTTTTATATACTAGAGTATAGTGAATTTGAGTGGGCTAGGGAGGTTGTTAGTTGTTTTAAGGGGTGATTGTAGCTAACCACAACTCTTTTTCTGGTATTTATTTAGTATAGATTTAATAACAGAGTTTTAAGTTAACATGCTTGTGGATAATTAACATGATTAAAAGAGTGGTTTTATGAATGACAAAAGGTTTTGGGTTTGGAGCTTATAGTAAACACTATTAATGGGTAATTTTTTTTTTTACTTTTTTTTGAGAGGGCTATTTAGCACAAAGTTTATATGAGTAAACAAATTAGAGTAGGGACAAAGGAATATGGGGTAAACAGACTTTACTGGGGAAGCTTTTATTATTATTATTATTATTTATTTATTTATTTTTTTTTTTTTGAGACAGAGTCTCACTCTGTTGCCCAGGCTGGAGTGCAGTGGCGCAATTTCAGCATTGCAACCCTCACCTCACAGATTCAAGCAATTCTTTGCCTTAACCTCCTGAGTAGCTGGGATTACAGGCATCCACCTGTAATTAGCCACCCACCCGCCTGGCTAATTTTTGTATTTCTAGTAGAGACGGGGTTTCACCATCATGACCAGGTTGGTCTTGAACTCCTGACTTCATGATCCACTGGCCTTAGCCCCGCAAAGTGCTAAGCTTACAGGCATGAGCCACCGTGCCTGGCTTATTATTTTAATTTTTATCCTATGATTTAAAGCTTTAATATAAGAACTGGCTGCTTTTAGTTTGTTTTATTAAAACCTTTGGCTTTTTAAAAGGTTTGAGACTAATTTTATATTTTTCCCTAATATTTCCCTAATCCTTTGCCAGCCACCTCGAGTGAATCCCAACATTCTCTAGCCTCAACCTCCTGGTAGCTGGGACTACAGGCATGTGCCACCCCGCCTGGCTAATTTTTTGTATTTTTAGTAGAGACGGGGTTTTACCATGTTAGCCAGGATGGTCTCTATCTCCTGACCTCATGATCCGCCCACCTCGGCCTCCCAAAGTGCTGGGATTGATTGCAGGTGTGAACCACCGTGCCTGGCTGCAAAACCTCATGTATACCAAAAAACACAAAAATTAGCTAAGCATGGTGGTGCACACCTGTAATCCCAGTTACTCTGGAGGGTAAGGTGGGAGGATCACTTGAGCCTTGGAGATGAAGACTGCAGTGAGCTGAGATTGTATCACTATACTCTAGCCTAGACCAGTGAGTCAGAACCTGTCTAAAAAAGAAGTTTGCAACATTTTGTGTAATGGAAATTTCTTCATTTTGATTTTGGTAGTGGTTACATAACTACAAACTTGTCAAAATTCATATAATTGTATACTAAAAAAGGATGAAATTTAGTGTATGTAAGTTTTACCAACAGATCTGATCACTGCTCCCTGCTTTCCCCCACAAAATGTCAGTGATGTTACAGCAATATTTCTGAAATAATTGATGAAACGGGACTGGGCGCAGTGGCTCATGCCTGTAATCCCAGCACTTTGGAAGGCTGAGGCGGGTGGATAGCCTGAGGTCAGGAGTTCAAGACCATCCTGGCCAACATAGAGAAACCTTGTATCTACTAAAATACAAAAAATTAGCTTGGTGTGGTGGCGGGCGCCTGTAATCCCAGCTACTAGGGAGGCTGAGGCAGGAGAATTGCTTGAACCTAGGAGGCAGAGGTTGCCGTGAGCCGAGATCATGCCATTGCACTCCATCCTGGGCAGCAAGAGTAAAACTCCTTCTCAAAAAAAAATAATAATAATTGATGAAACTTTTCACACACACACACATATATATGTATATGCACACACACACACACACACACACACACACATATATATATATTTTTTTAGATGAAGTCTTGCTCTGTTGCCAGGCAGGAGTACAGTGGCATGATCTCAGCTCACTGTAACCTTTGCCACTGGGTTCAAGCAATTCTGCTTCAGCCTACCAAGTAGTGGGATTATAGGTGCCTGCCACCATGTCCAGCTAATTTTTGTATTTTTAGTAGAGACGAGGTTTTACCATGTTGGCCAGGCTGGTCTCGAACACCTGACCTCAAGTGATCCACCAGCCTTGACCTCCCAAAATGTAGGAATTACAGGTGCGAGCCACTGCACCCAGCCTGATGACACTTTTCTGTAAGAGTAACTTATAGAATCAGACTTTTTTTATACAATGAAATATGCTTTGTGTTAGCCGTCAAATGCCTTCTAGAATTTTAGTTCGTATTTATATAGAAAATATGGTGGGTTTTTTTGGGGGGGGGGTTGTTTGTTTTAAAGACAGTCTCGCTCGGTTACCTAGACTGGAGTGCAGTGGTGTGATCACAACTCACTGTAACCTGAGCTCCTGGGCTCAAATGATCCTTCTGTCTCAGCCTCCCAATTAGCTGGGACCATAGGCATGTGCTAACATGCCTGGCTAATTAAAAAAAATTTGGGGGCCAGGTGCACTGGCTCACGCCTTTAATCACAGCACTTTGGGAGGCTGAGGCAGGTGGATCATGAGGTCAGGAATCAAGACCATCCTGGTTAACATGGTGAAACTTCGTCCCTACTAAAAATACAAAAAATTAGCTGGGTGCAGTTGTGAGCACCTGTATTCCCAGCTACTCAGGAGGCCATGGCAGGAGAATTGCTTGAACCTGGGAGGTGGAGGTTGCGGTGAGTTGAGATCGCGCCACCGTACTTCAGCCTGGCTGTTGAGTAAGACTGCACCTACAAAAAAACAGTCTGTAGAGACAGGATCTCACAGTGTTATGCAGGCTGGCCTTATAAAGTATCACTTTATATTAATAGCATTTTATATATTTAATAACATTTAATTTCCTCTAACCTGTCTTCTATGACCTTTCAGCTGGCATAATGTATTTCAGTTGGCATAAGGTCCTCAAAACTGCTTTGAACCCTTTGTGAGGGGAGACTGTAATATGAACTTACAGAGCTGATCATGTTCACAATACTGTTATAGAAAGTTCCATTCCATTGTTTGTGATAGAATTAGTAGTAGACACCATGCAGCATATTTCTGTTTAGATCTTTATGGATGCCTCCTGGAAGTCCACGTGTTTACTGCGTCATCCCTGAGCCTGCCACAGTGCACACTAAAGAGAACATGTTTTTAAAAATTATGCAGATTTTAAGATGTTTCTTGTCAAAGTGGATGTAGCATGAGAGGGATGTTAGTAGGGACTGTTTTCCGGTCGGTCAGATGATCTCATGCGGTGGGCTGAGGCTGAGGCTACCGAGAGTGAAAGCATGTGTGGTAAGATACAAGTTGACCTAAGCATAGCTTGCAGGATGACGCTGACATGTCCTAGGGGAGGTTCGTTCTTTAGCCTGGTGCTGATGTGAGCTGTGACTGGACTTTTTCTGCCAGGGGCTCTGTAACTCCCAGCTGGTGTTGGAGGAGCCGTCTTCCATTGTGCAGCTGGATTACAGCCAGAAAGTGCTGCTCATCTCTACTCTGCAAAGAAGTCTGCTCTTTTACACTGAAGAAAAGTCTGTAAGGCAAATTGGAACACAACCAAGGAAAAGGTAAGTTTCACAGGTTTTCCAGTTTGGCCTGAATGCTGGGCCTTGTTGTAGAAGGTGCTTCGGGGTTTTCTGTTTGATGAATGCAAGCCCACAGCGGCTCCAAGCCTGAGGTTCCTGGTGGGGCCGGTGCCTGCCGAGGATTCCTCCCCCCAGAGGCAGACAAGAAGAGTGGTTCCTCTTGTCACAGAGCTGCAGGAGCCTGCACACGCAGCCACTTTGCCTTGCAGGGTGCCACAGTTGGCCTGGAAAAGCCTCAGGAGTGGCCTGGTCTGCCTGTTCCTTGTGTAGGCTCCTCCACCCAGCTCTGGTGAGGAGTCAGGGTCGTGGGGCTCACTCGTTATTCAGCACCTGTCTGCCGCGCAGCCCTGTGCACTGTGGCAGGCTCAGCAGTGATGTGGCCAACCTGGCAGATCTGAGCCCTCCGTTGTGGAAATGGACATGCAGATAGAACACTTGTTGACGGTTGTGTCAGCTGCTGTGGACCAAAATGGACTGGGAGACATGGGAAGATTGGCAGGCATTGATGAGGCCCCGAGGCTGGTGGTGTCCTGGAGAGCTGGGCGAGGCAGACAGGTGGGGCCAGCCTCTGTGGTCATAGCCACCGTTTGTTGTTCTGGTTCTGGGCTTTGCAGCAACACAAAAGTTGATTGTCTTTTGGTATATGGACAGAGGATGCTGTGTGAGTTTACACACAGTCTTGTCCAGCTGAAGGGTCAAGGCAGACATCCTGAAGGCATGGCTTCCAGGTTGAGAGATCGTTCCTCCTTTGACTGATGCTATGGAGGAAGGGAGTGAGGAGTCCGCTTGCCGTGCCAGCTGTGTGGGAAAAGGCAGCTGGAACACCTGGGGGACCCGTAATTCATCCCCACCCTAGCCCGTGAAACACACCTGTAGGACTCTGCAGCGAGTTTGCATGGGGATGGGGTGAGGAGGGGGAGGCAGAGTGGTGAAGCCGACCCCTCCTTATGCTGAGAAGGAACACTGGGGCCAGTGTGGGGGTGGGCACAGAGCACAGCATCAGCACAGATCATGAGTTGATGAGTCTACAGTCATGGGTTGTCGACTGGCCGATGGGAGCTGGAGTTCTAATCTCGTGTCGCCCAGGAAAGGGCACCATTTGCCTACATAGAATGGGGGGCAGGGTAGCTGATGGTCACCGCACATGGGGAGGGTTTGTGGCTGGCCTTGTGGAGAGCGACAGCAGGGACTGGGAGACATGGTGAGATTGGCCCTGATGTCAATGAGGCCCTAAGGCTGGTGCCATTGGTGGTGACAGGCCGTCCTGGAGAGATGGGTGAGGCAGACAGGTGGAGCCAGCCTCTGTGGTCGTAGTCACCGTCCATGATTCTGGTTCTGGGCTTTGCAGCAACACGAAAGTTGACTGTCTTTTCTGCGTGGCAGCCCTGCAGCCATTAAAAGACACTCCCATCCCTCCCCTTTGACTTCTGTTTTCCATGCTGAACACCTTCTTAATCCCATCAACAATCTGGCCTTTTATATCTGCAGCCTCACTACTGGCCCCTGGAGAACGCAGGGGAATTTATGGTCCTGCAGATCTTAGTTCTGGCATTCCCTCTGCCAACATCCTGTTCCTCTGGCATTGTACCCTGGTTCATGTGTCAATGTCTTACTGCACTGTGTCTTTTTGGAAGGAAGGCAGGGTGTAAAGAGAGGGATTGAAAACCGATTACCTTTCAGGTGGGTCCTATTCCCAACAACTTCTCTTAAAATCTGGCCCTTGGCTGGACACAGTGGCTCATGCCTGTAATTCCAACACTTTGGGAGGCCGAGGCAGGCAGATCACTTGAGGTCAGGAGTTCAAGACCAGCCTGGCCAACATGGTGAAAACTTGTCTCTATTAAAAACACAAAAATGGCTGGGTACAGTGGCTTACGCCTGTAATCCCAGTACTTTGGGAGGCCAAGGCAGGTGATCACCGGAGGTCAGGAGTTTAAGACCAGCCTGACCAACATGGAGAAATTCTGTCTCTACTAATAATACAAAAATTAGCCGGGTGTGGTGGCAGGTGGCTGTAATCCCAGTTACTCAGGAGGCTGAGGCAGGAAAATCGCTTGAACCCAGGAAATGAAGGTTGCAGTGAGCTGAGATTGTGCCACTAAGTTCCAGCCTGGGTGACAGAGTGAGACTGCATCTCAAAACAACAAAAACGAAAACAAAAAAACAAACTTGGCCCTTTATCCTCTTGTGTGGAGACCCAAGCAGTTCCTGTCAACCTCTCCTGGTGCATCTGTTGAGTCTTTCAGGAACAGTGATTGAAAACATACTCTGCCCCGGAAACTGTTACAGGATGCAGAAACAATAAATATGTCCCTATGTCCCTTCTCAGAAGGAGAGAGATTTTATTGAGCCCTGGAGAAATGGGGGCTAGTAGAATAAAAGGAAATGTTTTTAACGTGTATCCGAAAGGCTTGCGTTCTGCTGTAGACTATTGTGTGCATCTGTCCCTGGAAGCAGTGCTTCCCCCACAAGTGTTCAGTGAATGGTACTGGGCATGTACACGGGGACATGGCAGCGAGTAAGGAGGCATCTAGGAGACAAGGCCTCTGCCCCCAGACACAGTGGGAGGGACCTCGGGTCAGCAGGATGAGAGGAGAGGCATCAGTGCTGTGAAGGGAGTGGTCAGGGTGAAACATGAGGGAGTGCTGGCGAGGGGCAGAATGTTGCCTTTGGATAGGATGGTCAGGAGAGGCCTCTACCAAGGCGGTGATATTTGATCTAAAGCCTAGGAAGAGCTGCTGTAAGAACAGTCCAGGCTCAGGGAACAGCATATGCCAAGACCTCAACTGGGCCAGGCTTAGATGTTCAAGAAGCTAGAAGGGACTAGGGCACTGGCTGCTGCGAGAGTCCAGGGGAGCGGCGGGGAGGAGGCTGCCGCGCGAGTCCAGGGGAGCGGCGGGGAGGAGGCTGCCGCGGGAGTCCAGGGGAGCGGCGGGGAGGAGGCTGCCTCGGGAGTCCAGGGGAGCGGCGGGGAGGAGGCTGCCTCGGGAGTCCAGGGGAGCGGCGGGGAGGAGGCTGCCTCGGGAGTCCAGGGGAGCGGCGGGGAGGAGGCTGCCTCGGGAGTCCAGGGGAGCGGCGGGGAGGAGGCTGCCTCGGGAGTCCAGGGGAGCGGCGGGGAGGAGGCTGCCTCGGGAGTCCAGGGGAGCGGCGGGGAGGAGGCTGCCTCGGGAGTCCAGGGGAGCGGCGGGGAGGAGGCTGCCTCGGGAGTCCAGGGGAGCGGCGGGGAGGAGGCTGCCTCGGGAGTCCAGGGGAGCGGCGGGGAGGAGGCTGCCTCGGGAGTCCAGGGGAGCGGCGGGGAGGAGGCTGCCTCGGGAGTCCAGGGGAGCGGCGGGGAGGAGGCTGCCTCGGGAGTCCAGGGGAGCGGCGGGGAGGAGGCTGCCTCGGGAGTCCAGGGGAGCGGCGGGGAGGCTGCCGTGGGAGTCCAGGGAAACCATTTACTGAGATGGACACTGGGGAAGGCTGGGCCAGAGGTCAGGACATGAGGAGCTCTGCTGTGGACATAGGGAGTTTGACAGGCCTGTCAGTGGCCACGTGGGAGTCACTGAAGAGAGTTCTATGGTCAGGTCTGGAGCCCGAGGAAGAAGTCTTGGCCAGAGGGGAAAATGAGGTCACCAGATACAGATGCATTGACACCTTGACATTGGATGAATCCACGCAGGGAGTATCTATCCATTCAGCGCTGGAGCTTTGCACTGAGCCTCTGCACTGCTCCAGGTACTCCTCATCTGGGGACAGCTGTGAACAAGGAAGAACAGACCTCTAGTCTCGGGGAGCTGCATGCAGAATGGTGAACAGATAAACATGTCAGAGGTGCAGAGCCAGAGACGGGGGAGCAGGAAACACCAGTGTCCCTTTAATAGGATGGCAGGGAAGCCTCCTCTGAGGAGGTAGCCTGGGCTGATTCCTGAAGCAAGGAGGCAACTAGTGAGAGAAACCTTTGGACAGAAGCCCTGGAGGCAGAGGGTCCTGCGCATCGAGGATCTGAGCATCCAGCCGGCTCTGTGGAGCAGGGAGCAGGGCGCAGGGAGCCCCCTCCCATCAGCTTTGTGGGCCCTGTCCGGGGGGCTTTCAGTCCAGTGCTGTGGCCAGTTACAGAGGGCTGTGGCCAAGCTGGGGAGGTCACTCTGGCTGTTGTTTGGAGTATACTGGAGAGGGCAGGTGTGGCAGCTCAGCAGGGCCAGCAAGAGCTCTGGGCGATCCAGGTGGGAGATGGCAGGGTGGGGCAGGATAGGTGGGGGACTGCTTCCAAGGCAGGGCTGACAGATTTGCTGCCACGTTGATTCGGGGATGTGAGAGGGACGAGTTGGAGATGATTCCCAGGTCTGTGGTCTATGCATCTGGCTGAGTGGACATGCCGTGGATGAACGCTGAGACACCTGAAGGCACAGGGAGGAGGAGATGACACAACCTGCTGTGGACCCCCGTGTCCTGTCCCCACAGCAGAGAGCTGGCATGGGAGGTGGGTGGCGGGTATGCCTCTCGGGGAGCTGTGCATGTAGCCGCTGGCATGCTACAGGAGCTCGCATAGGGAGATGTGGGGAGGCCTCATGTTCTAAAAGAGGAAACAGCATCAGGAGAGAACAGGAGTTGGGGGGTCAGAGGAGTCGGAGGCCACGTGGAGGGATATAGCAGCTGCTTCGAGACCCAGGGCTGGGGTCACTGAGAGGGGCCTGCACAACTCTTCTCGTCCGCAGGGCTAAGGGACTGGAAGGGCTGAAAGAGGAGTGGACAGTGAGTATGGACAGCTTTGGGGAGGAGTGTTTTTGTAGAAGAGAACAAAGAGAAATAGTTGGGCCCAGGGGCACCATGTGTCCTGTTGGGAGTTTTGGGAGAGGGACCGTGTGGCAGCACGTTGGTGTGTGACGCGGGTGCCTGTGGAGGGAATGCAGTGCTGGTGGGGACAGAGTGCAGGCGGTGGCCTCAGTTGGGCCCTCTCATGGGCAGCAGCCTAGGGGTTGACCAGAAACAGGCCAGAGACGTTC